CATAAATATGTTAGCGGCTGGCCTGGTGGCGAGGGACCGACCTGCAATAGAAATAAACAATCGCGTTAAGTGAGCGGTAGGGCCTAATTCGAAGGCAATTTCCACGAATCAATTCTACCGATTGCACTACGGTGCTATTGTTTGCGCGTTCACCCGTTTATATACGAATTTACCAGTCGGCTATTCCCGCGATGGTTGTTCCCACCGTCGGACTACGACGAATGACGGTGAACGGTTCGGAAAAATGGAATGAGAATGGAATGAGAAAATGATTCTGGATTGATTTCAACGATTGGTTTTAAACGATAAAGAAGGAAGGATTTCGAAAGAGAAGGGAAACTGGAGTGAAGGAAATAAAACGGATATCTAAAGAGAATTTTCTCAATATATGCAAAATCGTTTTCCTTTGAAAAGAATAATCAATAGCGAGCAAGAAAAGATAGGAAATGTATCGTCGATTCGAAGGAAGAAACGATAAAAGTATATGCAGCAATATCGCCGTAGCGTTTCTATTGTTAGATAAATATCTTTTATACGAATCTATCTTTCTTTTTCTCCGGGGATAGAAATGTTACGTTAAATAGCGAGCGAGCGAGCGACCGACCGACCGACCGACCGACCGACCGACCGACCGATCGACCGACCGTCAGACCAAGATATTATTATATATAAGAGCGAGAAGGAAACGTCAACGCTTCTATTTATATATTCCCGATGAAATTTGCATTTTCTTTGTCTTTTTTTTCTTTCCTTTTCTTTTTTTCCTTTTCCAATATTTTTTCGCCTTACGATGACGTTGCTCATAAAGTTTTCGTTGATCGAATTAAACGGTAACGTTTAAGAATCAACAAGTCGCTCGATACGCTGTGATTAGCTTTGTTTGTAAATTAGTAACTCGTGCAGCAGACGAGCTAATTAAGAACGATCGATCGCGAACGTTTGACGGGCGTACACCCACCCGAAGCGGGATATCAACGATACACAATATGCGTTATGGCGTTGTTATATGGACCGAAGCGCATTGGGAATTCGGGCGTGGATCGATGAAGAACGAACGTTCTACCTGAAACCGATCTGCTGTTATCCCTTTTGCGGCACGAATTGTTCCACACTATTTTGGCAACAACCCAAAGATTGTTCTACCGTAAACCAAATGTCCAGATTCCGTGGATATCGATAATCGTTTTCATTGGATCGTTTTCTTTTTATTTCTTTGGTATAATTATTTTTATCTATTAGCTATTGGCTGGTGTCTACTTTGTAACGTTTATTTATCGATTTACTATAACTATTATTTAAAAAAGATTTTCTTTTTATCGCGCCTGGAGATAGACAACGCTTTACACACAATACGTCGATAATGTGGTTTGCGAACGCCATCTATTTAACGGGAATTGTTTTAAATCTCTATCGGTAAGCAATGTTATTCGTACGTATATTATAATATAAATAAAAGATCTTACAAAATTGTGATTTTAATAGATTACGCTTGCATAAAGTGTTACCGACGGCGGTGTATGGAATGTTGCCTGTGCTCAGGCACGATAACCGGCGATAACAAATATTTGCATAAAGTTTGTGAATCGACGTGAAAAGCGAACATACAAGAGGATTTTTCTATTTGAATTGGAAAAGACGATTATTATTATTCTTTCGATAATTTCGAAACCGTATTGAAGAAGTTCTAAGTAATATTTTGAACGGGATACATTTGGAATTGCGTTTACGCGTGGTCCCGAATAAAGATTCGCCTTTTAAAATATCTTTCTCGCTCACGAACCAGCAATTTTTTCTGAGAAAAATACCGAGAGAGAATCGAGATTTCTCTCTCGAACTAAAGTATAGGTTCGGTAAGAAGGGAGAGAAAGAGGGAGAGATCCTTCGAGCTGGTTGAGAAGAAAAAGAAAGAAAATAAAATCGGTGGTGTGTGCAGCGAGCGTTCATGAAGGCTGCGGTAAAAGGCACCAACGAAGATTTAATTTGCGGTTCGCCACTCGTCGGTCGAGCTAACGGAGAATCGTGATTCGCCATTTTTCACCTAACTCGATTTCGTGGTTCTCTTTCGATCCAGCTTCTCTCCCTTCCCCTCCCCCTCTATCTTTCTCTCTCTACCTTTCTCTCTCTCTCTCTCTCTCTCTCTCTCTCTCTCTCTCTCTCTCTCTCTCTCTCTCTCTCTCCCCCTCTCTCTCTCTCTCTCTCTCCTTCGTCCAAGCCCTCGAAAGTCACTGAATTTCAAGAGTCTCCCGCGGCTTTTCTTCCTTTCCTCACTCCGATGAAAATTCTTCCAACTTGGAACGACCTTCTTTTTTATTTCCGCCTTCGATTTGATTATTCGCGAGCGCTCGAGCTTACACGAGGAATAAACTTGGGACGAGCTTCGGATTCCTTGAATAGCCCCTCGAATCGGGGTGGGATTTGCAGGATTTATGTTGAGCGAATATTCCTGCGCGACATCGTGTCGAATGCTCCAGGTTATTTGTTGAGTCCTTGAAAGGAGGAGAATCTTTGCGATAAGATTATATGGAATGCATCGTAATTCCTTCCGACCAACTCAATATTCTTCAATCCGCTCTCTTTCTCTCTATTTTTTATTCATTTTTTCATAACTATATTTAATTAGTATTTTCTAGACTAGGATCTCAGCGAAACGATAAATTTCGAGCATTCTGAGCACTGCAAGTCGTACAAGTTAAGTGCTCACGATTTTAAAATAGAGAGAGAGAGAGAGAGAGATTCCGCTTTAATTTCCGGCATTGCTAATTTTTTTCGTCACGCAGCGTCGCTTGCCGTCGTAATTACTGCTGCTGCTACTTCTGGTGTGAGTCTGCTCGAGAAGAGTAGAGAACGGGTTAGAGAAAGCACTAGTCGTGAGCTTTAGCAGTGCTTTCGTGTGTACTCTTCGAGCACCTTCGGGCTCTATAAGAAACTTTCTTCTCTCTTCCTCCCTTATTCATTTTCTTAGAATAGAACGAAGGTTGTGATTTATTCCATCGGAAATCGAGCGAATGTCTTACGAGGAAGTTTGCAGAATTTTTATATCCGTCGATGGAGGAGGCTCCGGCTCGAGTTTTATTGGACATTATTCTACGGAGCTCGTGCTCCGCGTACTTAACAAGAAAATCACCGATTTATTTCGCACGAATGAGATCGAAGGAGATTTCGGTCGAGGAAACAAATGCTCCGTCAGGAACATATTTTTCCTGAATAAGTAACTGATCAATATTCCTACGATTGATGGCGAGAATTAGCATGTGATCCTGACGGATCTCTTTTTATTTTCTTCTTTGCGAGACGTGAGATCGATAAGATCGAATTTTTTTGTTTTTGTTTTTTTTTCTTTTTTCTTTTTTCTTTTTTGTTTTTTTTTTCTTTTTTTTTTTGACCCCTCCTTGTCTTTCCTTTCTTTCTCTTTTCATTCGCTCTCTTTAACTCGTTGCTTGGAAACGCGATTCCATTTTGAATTTGAAGCTCGTAAAGTGGAATGATTCAAACGGAATATTTATGAGGAATCAATAGAGGGTTAAACGTTCAGCATAAAACAGTTAAAATCTTTCTAAATTGAATTACTATTCCGATTAAAAACAAACAGACAGAGAGAGAGAAAAATTCCTTGTACTTTTTTTTAACTCCTTACGTTCCTCTATGGGGATTCTACGGTCGGTCCATCGTCGTTTATATCTTTGATGGTATTTCCCAAGCGGACCGTTTACTCCTAGGACGAATAGCTATGGCACGCGTTTCGGAATATATTTTCGTTGGTAGACGCGGAAATGTACGACTTTGCCATATAAACGGAAATAAAGTGACGTTGAAGGATGTCGTTGAAATAAATGAAGCAACAAAAAAATAAAGCGTGAAGGATCGTAGGAAAATTCGTGAACGCATGGAAATTTGGTGAATTTTGGAGAGAGAGAGAGAGAGAGAGAGAGAGAGACGGGGAAGCGTACATGAAATTTTCGGGCACAAAAAACATCGTCATCGCCGAGATCCGTTGGTTTTTCGGAAAAGATTGATAGATCGTGACGTAGAAGAGAGCAGGAAGTGCTCGTTGACAAATCGTTACAAATGGTCCTTTCCGTTACGAGCCGCTCGTACCAACGATGACGTCCCACGTTCGATCAATTTCGAATCCGCCCGCTCTCAACTCGCGCCTCTCGTTCCATCTCGTCGTTTTAATAAAAATTGACCGTAAAGAAAATATTTGAAACGTCGACGAACCGTCGGTCGATATTCGAAAACGAGTTGCTCGTCCGACCGCTCGCCTTCTAATTACGACCACGATTACGAGCAAAAAGTGAGACTAGCTTAATTGGAGCGTTCTGATATATGGTAAAAAGTAAAAAAGAAAATTAGACGACGCGCAATTACTTGACTAAAAGGGATAAAGAGAAAAGGGAGAAAAGTCAAGTCTCTTTTGCTCGAGAAAAAGGACACGAATGCAAAGCGAATTCTATGCACGAGACGTGAAAATAACGCGTACCTCCGTTGAATGTGCCATAACGATACTGACATTTCTTATCTCTTTCTCTCATTCTTCCTTTGCAACTCCTTTAAAAAAAATGAAAGAAAAGGAAAAAAGACGGAAAAAACAAAAAACAAGAAAGCGTGGCGCTTTCTCAGCCATCAAGAAGTATGACATTGTTTATCGATACTCACGAGGGTAACCGATAACTCCGAAAGAAGAGGGATACGTAGTACCTCAAAGAAACACGATATAAAGTTTCCGATAGGATCGTAGTTTGTCGCGTACAGAAGATGACTTTTAAATCCGACGTTAGAGAAAAAGTCTATTCTAGAGGGAAAGTTGAGAAAGAGTGTGTTCGGTAAGAAAACGAAAGAGAAAGAACAAAATGTTACCTATCTTTAACCCTTTTGCTTTGATATATAATATACATAAATTGATAAAAGGCAGCTCATAGATATTTTGACCGATTAAAAGGGCAAACGTAGAAAAGTACAGGAATGCTTTAGTAAAATGGAAAATGAACTGAAACTTTCAGAACTATGCGAGGAATGGGCCCTGGCGAACAGTCGCGAATGCGTGGAGAGTGGCGGCACAGCAGCCTCGACACACGAGGAATCCGAGGATGCATCGGAGGCCAGGTTCACCCTCAAATATTTGGGCAGCACCCTCGTCGAGACGCCATCGAGCGAGGAGGCCACGGCTGAAGCCATAAAGACGGTCATTACCATGGTACGTTTCACGTATACAGGCGCCGTACGTACTTACAATATGTACGTGTATATATATATATATATATGTACCTTGACTAATCATCGATCGTTTGATTCAACCTATGTACCATTGGACTCGAAACATCTTGCAATTTTAATTAAAGGACATCGGTAGTCGAGTACTACTACTCTCCATCTTTCTCCCTCTCTGATTTACTCTTAATTTTGCACACTAATGATCAAAGCAATTTGTCTTGTAGATCTGGCAGGAGAGCGTTGCACTTTCGGCACGATAATTCATTACGATTCATTAGACATTTTCTCTATCCTCCCTCTCTCTCTCTCTCTCTCTCTCTCTCTCTCTCTCTCTCTCTCTCTCACCCCTCTCGCTTTAGGAATGCCATCATCGATCTCGCACAAAGTGATTTACGATCGTCCTCGTAATTTACCTCAAGCTGCGGACATCCGGCGACGATACTGCTGACGCTTACATAACTTCATACATAGGATAATGCTCGTTAAAGACTAGAAACAATGTCGAGAACGTACCCTTTACGGTAGCGCCGAAAAATAAACGAAAAGGAAAGAAAGTTTAATTTCCTTTCTAGGAAAATGTAGAACGGACTGAAACAATGGAACGAAGACTTTAATTTATCTCATAACGAACGTCGGACCAAAGATGAAAAAAAAAGCCACCTACACACACAGACACACATATGCGCGCGCACACACATATAAACGACTTGCCGTTGAAAATCCAGCTTTACCTCGTGTTCCCTGCTCGTATAAATATCCTTCTCAAAGGGTGGGGGTACGCTCGAGTAAGCGCAAATTCCCTGCCGCTCGTCGAGGATTATAAGGCTGTAATTAAAAAATAGACGGACGGATGGAGAGTAATAGTAGAGGTCGATCTCTTGTTATTGCAAAGAAGGAACGTTAAATCTAGTTGTTCGTGCGTATAATAGATGGAAAAAGAATTTCTTCAAATTTATATAAAGATAGGTATATAAAGTTTTGAATTCACAAAGTCAATTACGATCGGTCAGATTTCTTTGCGTCGTATTTTTTTCACGTATACTCCCCCATTCTATCTGCATATTATTCAATTGTATTCTCGTTTTCCACTTCGATAGGGGAAGAACGGGGAAGAACTCATATTTCTTTTCGAACAATCCTGTCGTTCTCAGAGAGATGATATCTTCTTCTATCGAGATCTTAATCGATAAAGAGAGAAAAAGAAGAGGAAAGGAAAGGAAGGGAAGGAAAGATACTATCCAATTTTGTCGTTCGACGTGAAAGAAATTCTCTTTCTCTCTCAGGAACGGTGGAAGAGTAAAGGGTAGATTTTTGTCAAGAGAGGAGGAGAATTTTTGTTCGTTTAGCAGGAAAATATAGCTCGGTAAGAAATGGCCCGATAACGGGAGCTTACAATTCCGTTGGTTTACTACGATAAAAGGGAAGAAAGGGGAAGCGAAACAACGAGAAGCAAGAGAGGTGTTGCACGTGAAAATGTAGCATACATTTGATACTTGAAACGGTTATTTTCATTCTTTCCTTTTATTACTCGAAAACTAAAAACGATAACGAGCAGGAAAACAAGGTTGATACGGAAGGAACATCGTAATGCTGCTGTTTCTCGGATTTCAGTTAATTCAGTTGCATTGATAAGCTAGTAGCGTTAACAGAGAGAGAGAGAGACAGAGAGAGAGTAACAGAGTTTAGGATTTGCCGATACACACCGCCGTAATCGTATCGTTTCACGAAGGCATGCAAATTTCTATCTCGAAGTTATGCTTATCAGGAAGTTTGCTGAGTTTATCTCACGCTGCTGCCGCGTGCGAGGGTTGCCACGGCAAAATAATGCAATTGGAAGGATTAGTTAGCTATTGGTATTATCGGGTATTAACCATTACATCGAATTTTGCCCAGAGAGAAACTTGTTAAGTGGATTTCAAATAAACTATCCCGAGTTACCGAAGCATTCGCGAAATATAACTCAATTTTGACTCTGAAAATATAAAATATGTATATCGTTGGTTAGAATAGTTAAGAACTTTAACGAGATTATATTTATTTGTTACGTATCTTTTAGAAAAACAAAATAAAAACGAAAAAAAAAAGAATTCGTCGAAAAGATTTAATTTCACCGAACGATATTAATCTAATGCCTTCTTTCTTACGTTTAATGGCCACGACCAATCGTCATGAATGAAACGCGAAACATTTTCCACTTTGACTCTCCATTATTTAAAAGCTATTTCTTTTAAAATGCCATTAGCTTTTTTACGTCAAATATACGATACGTTTTATTTATATGGATTTTTGTGATATAATGGATTTCTGTTTCACCAGAAATAAAATATAGTTGAGCTGCGAATGACCCATTTCTTTTTTTTTTCTTTCTTTCTATGTACCAGGCAAAGGCAAGCGGTAAAAAGTTACAAAGGGTGTCTTTGGCTGTGAGCTTAAGAGGTATCAGAATGACTGATTTAGCCACGGAGGAAGATCAGCTACAAGTATCGATATACAGGTATATATGACTTTGTTAATTAATCTCCTCATTAATTAACGTCACAGATGTTTACATCTCCCAAAGACAATTTTATCTTCCCCGCTGTCGCATAGAATCTCTCTTTCATTTTCCATCTCCTCTTTTTACATCTGTCAAGTTCATCTTGATTCCTTATTTGTTTTTCCCTCCATCGACCCCTTGGAATGAATTAGCCCTTTTTTTTAAATCGGATCTCGGAGATAAATTTCTTCCTTCCCTCTCCTCCTCCTCATTCTCTCTCTCTCTCTCTCTCTCGCTTTTCTCCTCGTCGTTCGGACAATAAATGAATCGAGAGGGAACGAGAAATAGGGATAGAGAGAGAAAGAGAGAGAGAGAGAGAGAGAGAGAGAGAGAGAGAGCGCCGTTATTTTATAAAGAATAAAAACCCCAAGTCGAAATCCGATAGCAATGTGTCCCGTCTCTTTGACAAAATACACATCGATCGCAGATTTGCCATACTCTCTCCCGTGGAATAATAATTGGAAGATTATATTCGGAGCAGAGTATATCTGGGTATGGCCTAGGAAATTTGCCTTAACGATGCTAAACGCAAATCTCTATGGTATAGATTGACACGAATTGTCTTACTGATACACGATTACGATAACGCGATATCTCTCAATGACAATGCGACATCGTTTTATTATCTTATATCACCTTTACTCCTTTGTAATTAAACTTTCGCTCACTGCGTTACGCGTTTGTAACGAGACAATAATATATTCTTTTTGGCAGGATCTCTTATTGCTCGGCCGACGCAACCCATGATCATGTGTTTGCATTCATCGCGACGAATCTGAACGAGACGATGGAATGTCACGCGTTTCTCTGTCCAAAGAGAAAAATGGCGCAGACGGTGACATTGACGGTGGCCCAGGCATTCAATACCGCTTACGAAGCTTGGCAATTGTCACAGGCTGATCCGAGGATTCATCATGCTCAAGATAAAGGGTCTACTTTGACGGATGAGAAAAACGGTTGGTAATTAAATTTCTCCCGGCTGTACACTCGATTTATGTATGCATAGATACACAGACAGATATATATATATATATATATATATATATATAAGCAATCGAGTAGTTATTACTCGGTATTTATTAGTTTGATCTAGAATAAAAAAATCGATGCAGCACGGAAGTTATTCGATCGAAAAAATGTAGCCAACTTAAAAATTCTTCAAACGCGTAATTAACGTTTCATAATCGAATAGATACGAGCTTGTTAATTATCTAATGCCTTTAACGAATGTTTCATTAAATTTGCATATTTTCTTGCGATGAAAAAAAAAAAAAAAAGAAAAAAGAAAAGTAAAAAAAATGAAAAGAAAAAGAGAAAAGAAAGAAAGAAAGAGAGAAACGCTGGAAACAGGAGGATAGTAACGTAATATTTGGTATGTGCACGTCAACCGTATAATCATATTTAACGTGGGAAATATCATGTTAACTTGCGTTGAGTACTATCGTCGATACAGTTGCAATGCTCGGGGCATTTTTAAATATCCGCTTCGAACGCACCTACGTACACGTATGGGCAATGTAATAGGCGCATGCATATATATGTGTGTGTGTGTGTGTGTGTGTGTATGTGTGTGTACACAGAGAAACGTGCACGCGCGTTCGAGCTGTTGTATGGTAAATAAATCGGTGCAGCATCGATAATTAATGACGATGCAGTTAGTACAGCGGGAAACTACGAAGCTATAACAAGTACCACGTAATCAGAATTCGCCGTTATTACTTAAAGACGATATAACGTTACTCGCTGGATGATAAATCGACTAACGGAAGTTACGTCGCGCCGATACAAACGACGTGTCATTTCCTTCCCGTAAACTCATTTTTTTTTGTTCTTAATTAAACGCGTCCCCTTTTTCGTTTGGCTTGCAGAAACAAATGAAAAAAAGAATTGCAGCGAGACGAAGACGTCGGCGAAGATGATCCAACAAAACAAGCAGAACGGTCAACAACGTCATACCATCAATGAAGGTCAAAAGAACCTTTTAATTGATCTCTCGAACGATCCTAAGCCGCCGGGGAATTCATGGGTGAGCGTACCAGCTTGAATCTCTTTGAACGAATCCTCGAATCGTTGAACCAATCGACGAGCTTTTCACACGCGAATCGTATACAAACACGTGCGGTATGAACGAATATATATATATATATATATATACATATTATATATATGTATATGTATATGTATATAGTCATTTGCCTTGTATACTTCAATTCCGCAACATCCCCAGGGTAAAGTTATTTTTATACCTTTGATATTTTTGTCATAAAATCGATTCACGTTTAATCTCGTTGCGTTAAATAATCTTATTTTCGAACCCATTGCAAATGAGATAACGGAGCATTGTTAATCCTCATTATTATTGAAATATTGTTGTTGAAAGTGTGGAAATTAATATATGAATAATTGATTAGAGATAATCGATAAACGTAAAGAAATAAAATCACTCTATTAAATTAATGTCATCTTTACGAATAATTACATTAATCCATTCATAAGGGTGGGTTTTATTTGAATGGAAAAAGAAAAAAAAACTCCCTCCTTTCGGTCCACTTCTGATAATAATATCGAAGGACATTTTTTTCAGGTAAGCTTCGAGGAAGAATCGAGTTTGGATAGCAAGAGATCGCAAAAGAATTCGGCCAATAGTATTCCCATGACCACACTGAGACACACGAGCACGTCCACGCCGTCTCATCACGTAGTACCGAGGCCATCGACAGGATTCAAGATGCAAAACGCTTGGGGAGAATCCAGATCCGTCGATCTAATGTGCTCGTAGCAGACATAGCCTGCGGCTGACAGCTTCAGAGACGTGCCATTAATCACGGGTCTCTGGAAGCATCTGTCGAATAGCGGCCAAACGAAGAAAACTAATCCTTAGACTAATATCAAGCTCACCGAGGAGGAGAGTAAATGTGATTTTAAAATGTGACACGCAATATATATGGGAAAGGGATTAGAGCGAATCGATCGTTGGATCGATTTTTAAACCGAAAACGAAACCTCTTTCTCCTTTAGGAGAAAATAGATCATCGAAGAGATCATCATTTTTTTACTTGGACCTGCCTCGAAAAATGATCTGCCGATCGAAAGAGATGTCTCCTCTTTCCTTTTTTTCTCCGCGTGATAAGGTTTTTATCGAGTATACCACTTATCCTTTTATTCTATTCCATTTCGTACGTAGAGATGACGGGAAACGATCGTCCGATGGATTTTCGATCATGATGATATATATATATATATATATATACAGACACGTACGTGCATACACGCACGCACGCACGCACACGCAACGACACACATACGCACGCACGCACACATTAGAAAAGCTTTTGACAGGACCAACAAGAATAACGCATTTTCGATTAGGACTGGTTACGAAAGAAAAAAATCCTGCCATTGAATTTTCTTAGACGTTTACATTTTTTTACATTTCAAACGAATCGAGTTCATTTCTTTGAAAATATGTTTTAGTATCGGTCTGGCCGTAATCAATCTTTTAACCAGATACGAAACGAACGACGTTAATCGAACTTTCCAAGTATATGTAAGAAGGTAGGTTAACGATTTTAATACAAGGTTGTTCTGTACGCATATCGCAAGTTAAGAATTTTAACAAGAGAGTAAAAATTGTTCCTTTTCCACAACGCATTGGAAGGAAATATATAATTCCGTTTAATGATACGTACGCATCTACACATATAGCTATTATAAATTTTGACGGCAAGATGAGAAAACGAAAGCCACTATATTTAGTCTTCGAAATAGGCGTTCGTTACATGTTAGATAAATGTGTTGATATATGCGTTATAGGATATATACGTCTCTATTACGTCTATTTAATAGCAGTACGTTTAAATATCGCTGGTAACATTCGAATAGATATAAATTAGCTTTATACGTCGTTATGTGAATCATATCACTCGATATTATGAATCGCTAGATTAAACTATGGCTTATACAGATTATACTCATCAATCGTTGCTCGCGTTAATCCTTTTTTTCTTTTTTCTTTATAGCCCAAGCGATAGAGAAAATAATTAACGTTTAGCAAAATTAGGGAAAATCGATTTTTATTACGTCGACAATCGTTTAAAACGTTAAGCTATCCGTTGAAAGTACTTGTCGTAGATTATATGCGTCGTTTATCTCGTTTTAAACAAAATTTCGAGTATGGAACGTACCGCTGTTATATTCGAAATATTTAGTTTTATATATTAAGTCACGTTTACAGGCCTAATCAATATCATTTTCTAATAATCGTCTCGTTATAATACTTTTCTATATTCTTATATATTGCAATTCTCTTAGAGACACTAATTAAAACAGATTATATTCCTCTGTCCAACTGCGTAGCTGACGTTGAAATTGATCGAGCGAAAATGGTACATCATGTTTTATTCGTTGCTTTATCCTATCGTGCTATCCCACGAGATCCCATTAAATGTTAGCGAAGGATGCATAATCGAAATACACGTATACATATCTTTCATAGGACGAATATTTTATCTCATCCTCTCTCGTTTATATGTTAATACATGAGACTCGTCTATTAAAGAGGAGTTCGTCTTCTTAATCCTTTATAAAAATACGTATATACGTACGTATATGTAAGCGCGCAATTTAATTTTTAAATAAATTATTTAGGAACAAAACTGTGCTGCCATCTGTCGGCAAGGTCTAACAAGCGCTAATACCTTCACGTATCGTTATCGACCGAATCTTATTTCTTTACCCACTTAACTGAACGTACGAGTTCCTTTATTCTACGCTAGGTGGCGAAAGAAACCGAAACAAATTATTTATTTATAATGCGCATCTTACAATATTACTTATCTTAATGAAATTATTCGACGTAAAAAGGATCGTAGAACGATGAAAGTACAATCAAGATTGTTTGTACTTTTCTTCTCTAGCGTAAATTTATGTTAAGGTAATTTTATCGATAATATTTTTTATTTATTAAACAATAAGTGCATATACAGTGAATACGCTATTAGAACGTATACAGGAAAGAAAGTAATGGAGTTTGAAAATAAGAGAATAGATAAGGGACGTGGGTTGAAAAATACATATAAGAACTCTTAGCTCTTTGGATACGTATAAAGTGTGCTGGTTTTTATGCTTTTATGCAACTATCAAGCGTAGTAGACTGGCACTCGAGAGATGCCCTAGATCCAAAAATGTCGCGATCGCTCGAGGATTAATCGTCTTTGCTGGTCCTGCAGCTTTTCAACCCCGAAGACGTATTGTGCCTTAGCGATCTCGCGTTCCACTTTTCTCTCTCTCTTTCTCTCTTAAACGATTCGAGTACTTTTTTCTTTTTTATTTTCGATGCACACTATTTCTCTTTATTTCTCTTTTTTTCTCCTCTTTAATCAGTAAATTAGTTACTACACGATGCGAGAAAAAAAAAGTTGGACGCAATTATGTCCAGGTAATTAAGTGCATGTCGTCTTTCAGCAAGCGGAAAAAAAGTCATTACTCTTCGCACTTTGAGACAGCTTAGAAACTAGTTCTTTCGTTTCTCTTTTTTTATTTTTTACTTTTCTCTCTCTCTCTCTCTCTCTCTCTCTCTTTTACTGTTTTGCTCCACGGGGGATATTATCGGACAGGTAAGAGAATGGAAATGAGAGAAAAGAGGATTCTCCGAGCGAGTCACGTTTATCCGAAGGCCGTTACTTACGAAAGAGAAAAGTGCTTCTCGGAGGAAATTAAGAGGGAAACGAAAAGGTGGAAAAGTGGAACGAATTCTCGCTCGGGTAAGTCTCGCTGTAATAATGGATGAGAAGTGCACGTCGCGGCCAGTGTTTCTCTCGCATTTTCGCACATTTTTTCTTTTTCTTTTTTTGTCAGAAACGAAAAGAGAGAAGAAAAATATACATTTATATTTGGTAAGTCGTCGCACATAGGTATCATACATTTTTCAAAATAATGCCATTTCTACGTATGAATTCATGATGATCGATCTTATAAGTCGTATGAATAATAAAATTTGTTGCATCACAGTAAAAACATAAAATTCGAATAAAATTTCTACAAAAATTATTCTCTCGCGAACAAGAGGAGAACGAACAACCGTGAGGAAAGGACACTCAAATTAAGGTTATTTATCGTACGGCGTATTCTCGGCGCTTCTTCTTTCTCAACCTTTGGTACACTTTTGACGACACTTTTATTTCGTATATTATTTAGCTTTCACAATTCCACGAGTTTCTTCGAAGCTTTTAAAACCGTAAAAGTATATGCAATAAAGCCAGAAATTTCGAGAGAGAGATATTTCGTTAGTCATAGATCGAGAAATACTCATAATTCACTTAGAATAGCTCGAAATATCCGTCGGTATTATTATCGAATAAAGAAGATCCCTGTATTACTCCGCCTAGGCTATTTGACGAATAGCACCGATATAAATCGACGAATGTATCCAATATTAATTACGTTGTGTCTCGTGGTAATTACTAGAGAGAGAGAGAGAGAGAGGTACAGTTAATCGTTTATCAGTCACAATTATTCGTAAGTGCCTCACGTTCGATTGTTAATCGCGTCATTTATAACGACGTTCGCGATGAAAAAGTGTGAGAATTTGAAAGATTGACGAGAAGAGATCGATTAAAAATAATCTCTTAGAAATAGAATTATAATTTGTGCGAGTTATAACGATTACGTTTAAATCGTTCGTATTCCCGCGTTTCGTTTCTCTGGAGTACCGCTGGTGGCAGGACCGTCGCTTTTTCTCAAGCTTCCTCCTCCTCCCACCCGCCCCATCCGAGGAATTACTCCTTCTATCGTAGAATCGAGTCCAAGGAGCAAGTCGGAAGAGGTTTCGTCGACGGTCGCTTGGCGGCACTGTCGTCGTAGCTTTACTCGGCGCCTACGATCGTCCGACGGCGAGGATGTCCGCGTCAAAGATCTCCGTGTTCGGGGATCCCTGTGTCATTGTTTTTCGTATTGCCTCGAGTCCGCAATATCTCGAGGAAGATACTGTTAACATTTCTACGAAGCATCGTTCGATCTTATCGCTTCTCGCCGGGTGTCCTCGACGTTCTCGTCATCGCGAGATTCACCGAAGCAGAAAGGAGGTGGAAGAAGGAGAGGAAGAGGATCACCCTGCTTTACCGTACGATTTAATCAACTTTCCCAATGAAATTGAAGCATTTTTTCCTTTTCGATTAGATCGTCTTCCTTCTTTTTACTTGTAAAGTTTCTTCTCTCTCTCTCTCTCCCTCCCCCTCTCCGTCCCTCTCTTCTTAACGGTTTTTCGCGACGAGACCTTGGTAAGAAAGTCACGTGGTTCGCCGGTTAGTCCATTGTTTACAGCAGCTTATACGACCGTTCAAAGTTACGCATTGTTGTTGATAGGCATCGAACGTTCTGTCGACAAGTGTTTGCAACATGAATATTCGTCTGTTCGTCCTTCATTGAAAATAATCATTGGAAAAGTGAAATGCTCGTTTCGTAGAACTGTTCGACGCAAAGGAGAATCAGTCGAGAACATTGCGCGATTCGAAAACCCCGAGGAATCCTCTAGTTGCCCGATATTTCTAGTTTCTCGTAAGTGTTCTTTTTTTTTTCTTTTTTCTTAGATTACTTTTTACGATTCTTAATTAAGAAATTGGTTGTTCCTTATTGTTCGATCACTTGTTTTTATTTTCATTAATCGTTATCAAAACATAAGGCAATGACATTGGAAGACATCGATCGCAATACAATCGGATTGAAAATGTCTATGATCTTTCGATATAAAGCGCGTAATGTATCGTCTGGTTATAGGAAAAAAAAGAAAGGAAAAAAAGAACGAATCCAAGGTGCCCCTTTTGGGTCTTTTTAAGAATACGGTCCTGAACGATCGCTGAGGGGGGTGTGTAGAGTGAATACCCCTTTTCGGTTCTTTTTAGTAATACGATCCTGAGTACGTTTCCATGGTAACTGCGATATGAAATTCGCCGCAAAGTAACCGTTATTTGGAAAGGACGCCATGATGGAAGCAACAAATTTTTCTCTTCGATAAATTAAATTTGAAAAAGTTTTTATTATATTTTTATACACTTATTCATCGTGCCAGCATGTAGGTAACTTATATTACTCAAATTATTTCAATAATTTTCAATAATATATTGATGGCAATTATAGATTAACTGCGATGAAAACTTTTGTAACCTATTGTACATCGCGATCCAATCGAACGTAATTGTTACCTGTTAAATCGGCCAAGTCCTATTAGAAAATATATTTGTATGCATTTCGTATATTATCGTACTAAACAATACGTTTATTGTATGATAACCACGTTCACCTTTTCTGAGCGTGTTTACAAAAGGAAAGGTAAAGAGAGAGAGAGAGAGAGAGAAAGATAAAGAAAAGGATTGGTGGGCCGATTAGGTCTAGGAATGAGTAGGGGTGTCCTTGGTTTTGCATACACTACTGCACAATCGAGTCATTGTCCATCGAAGTCGTTCGCAAAAAAGTAAACGAAGACGCTCTGCACAATAAGGCGTCGTGCTAATTGTGTTGCGAAGCGTAAAAGCTGAAAATAACCACGGTTGCGACGTTGTAATTACGCTGTTACAGAAAATTTTCGCATACGCGAATAATAACTCAAATTGAATCGAGAAAACATTTAATCATTTTATAACATTAATTCTTGAAAAACATTATGTCGATGAAAAATTGTTAATGTATTATATTTTATATCCCAGCCGTTATATTTCTTATTTCGATGCTCTCTGCGTTCGTGATATACAAGTCTCAATCGTTTTCGTTATCTTTGTTACAGGAAACGAACGGGCTATCGTCACTTCGTAAAAGTGATAGATCTTGGAAAACATTTAGACTTAATAAATCGAGAACGATCGCCGTACATTTTTCAGATAAGAAGGTGAGAAATCGTATGCTACGAATATTTTATTTCCTATCGTTGATCTCATATACTTGTACATTCACACGTACACACACGTATATCTCTATACACTTATATATATATATATATGTATATATATATATAGATATAATTGTTTATAAGGTAAGACTCGGATTATTCATTAATACGTACATATGGAAATATATCAATTAGAACATGTCAAATGCGTATGCAATAACGTTATGTAAGATATTATGCAAGCGACATATTTGCTTTTTAAAAACATTCCTTTTGTTTTTCCCCGTTCTACTTCGTACCAAACATTTTCTCGATAGAATTGTTTCCTTTTACAATAAAAAAGAGATCTCGATAAAACTCGACATGTTATACTATGCGAATCATTCTCTTAGAGGAAGATAATCATCGATATAAAAAGTTAACCAAATGTGGAAGATAGGAGGGAGCGATTAAGCCTTAAAACGTAAATACAGACATAATTAGCGAAGAAATTCTTGAAGGGTCACGATCGGCGATGAATTAATTTAATATAATCAAAGCGTCCGCCGTGAGAGTAAGTAATGCCTCGTTTACCGGTAATTCTGGCTTGCATCGTTCGTGGCAAAAGCTTTACCACGATGGCGGGAGGGAGGAGGGAGGACGTGCATTGTTCCAAAGCAAGATGTACGAGCCGATCGGAAGCAGCGCAACTAAAAAGAAGCGAACTCACGACGTCGGCCTTCATTAATTATCCGCATAAATACACGTATGTGCGTTTTTGTGTTGGGTGCTATGCATATATATATGTTGTATATATATGTGTGTGTGTGTGTGTGTGTGTTGTGTGTGTGCATGCGTGTGTGTGTACATATATATATATAGATAGATATATATATGCGTGAACGCGAAGCTTGTTGCGCCAATTGCTTTTATAGTGCGAGACGGTGTAAATACGTTCGCTTCGTGCAAAGTCGAATCCATTATACATGAATTAACAGTGTGTTCGAGTATCCCGTGAATTACCTACGGAATACTCTACTTGCTTTAACGTCTAATCGATACTCTGGCTAAAGATTCGTTTTACAACAACGTGCCTTCGTACCCTTTCTTTTTGTCAAAGTATGGAAATTAAGAAAATTGGCAACTCGGTTAAATGAGAAATGTCGCGATTATCTCTCTCTCTCTTTTTTTTTAATGTGAATTATTTAACGTCGAGACGATGATAGTTTAATGCGAGACCGATTTTATGCATCCGTTTTATCGATCGCGTTGATCATTACTCAAGTTTATTTCGCGAGACTGCAATAGCCATGTCGTAACACAAAATTTCACACCTTTCTCCGATAACGGAACCGTAAAGAAAGATCGACGTGTTTTTCTTTCTTTCTGTTTTTTTTTTTTTTTTCGTTTCCTTTACTCGATTTCGTAAAAATCGTTGTGTCGATGCGAGTGACTAACCGTTCTGGTAAAACCGTTTCGCGTAATCGAGAGTAAGTCAGCGTACCTATCGGAATGAAAGAAAGACGAAAGGTATGAAGGATTGATTTTACCCTTGACCTCGAGATTCCTTTCATTTTTATTCCGATACGCGAACGGACGGAACTTCGTTTCTTCGGAGCTTTGAATAAGTGTTAAACTCGTTATCGTTCGGCATTACATCATATTCTCTTTTTCCTTCTTGTATTTTTTTTTTTTTTTTTTTTTTTAACATTTTAAACGACACGATAAAAACTTCAAATTCCGCTCCGCAACGTCATTGTTATATTTCTTTCGGCCATGATTAATGCGTACGCGCGTTCTTGTTTATCCAACGAATAAGCAACTTAGCACATTTAGCATTAATTATTTATTACGTAAAATGTACGAAAGATCGTAGTTAACATTCTTTCTTTTTTTCTTTTTTTTCTCTTTTTCCTTTGGTTTTCTCATCTCGAACGTTGCGTAAATCGAAGTGGAAGAACAAAGCTTCATAAGAAAATCATTTTTTTTCTCTTTTATCTCATTTTCCAAATGATCAGCATTGTCGATCGTTGATACATTTTATCGGTAAGATAAGAAAAATATGTTTGAAAAATAAATAGCTAAAGTTAATATTTTTTCATCCGGGTTGCTTAAGTGCGCGGTTGTTGATACATTGCTGTCGTCTAAGCCGAAGAAAATCTGTGACTTCGGGACCGAAGTTCGTATCGCGCATATTACGGAATATATTTTCTCTGCTATTCCATAAAAATAACAGGAAAATGCGAAAAATAACGAAAAGTATCTCCCAGGAATATCTCTCATCTCCTTTTTCTCGATCTTTCCATATAATTCACTTTTATTTTCTTTCGTGGCTCGTCCATCCGGAAAGTTTTATTCCCATCGAATTACATATTCACTTTCGTTTCGATATGCTACAGTTATTTCCAAAATTGTGTAACGTTGGATTAGTAGTCGATAAAAAGGAACAAAGGAGCTAGAAAAGTGTTCTTTTCTTTTTTTTTTTTTATGCAATGTCGATTATTCGAACGTCTCGATCCTAATGCATCCTAGTTATTTTCAAAGAAAACTTACGAATGAATGTTAAAAAGGGCAAAGAGAGAGAAAGAGCCACGGTCCAAGTTAGAACGTCGTTCTAGTCTAGAAGATGAGCCTCCACAGTTGTAAGATTCCAAGTTAATTTGCCACTTGAGAGCGCACACCCTATCCCGTCGAGTCATTTGAATTTGTCAAATGCATTTTACTTTTCCACGAGACCACCCTCTCTTTCCATCCTCGTCTCTTGCCATTTCAAATCCCTTTTTCTTCCTTTCTTTCCATTTCCAACTTTCATTTCTTTTCTTCCACTCTTTCTCAAACACGTTCTCGCATCATGGAAAAGTTAGTCCCTAGGCACTCTTGGGGGATTTACCTTTAGAAATTAGCAAAAGCGTTGCACCGTGTTCCCTCTCCGTTGGTCTCTACGAATATATTCGTTCGCCCCCGTTAGCTTTTAAATAAAAATCGTCAAGTACTAACTTTGAACGAGACGTTTATTATACGAATACTCTCCTTCAAAGTCTCGTAACGCGTGATCAATGTATAGTAGTATTTTACTAGCCTTGACAATGAACGTTTTGAAGAAAATGAATAAAACTTGGCGAAACGATTAAATTACTTGTACTTCGATGTTTATCCATATTATTTGTAGACGCGAATACAGTTAGATAAAAGTATCGTTAATGAAGTTAGTTAAAGAAAATAGCCGTCTTATAGAGTATTTGTAGAAACGTAAGGAGACATTTACGAGGATGTCTATCCTCGAAAGGGTAAAGCTACGTTAAGGTCTTGGTCCTTCCTTAATGGCGCTATTACGGCAAGTCGGCGCACGCTTTAATATAAATTATGAACATGGGTAGGTGGTAGAGGCTATAATGTCAGGCGATCGTTGATTCCGGGCTTACATCGGCTTCTACTCTACCACATAGCACCAGTTCTATCTCCACCTCCTCTACGACCACATCGGTACACCCCTTCTGTGGGAAATGGCGGCACCTCCTGTGCTGCACGCCCATAATCGTTGATTTCGGACGCGAAAGCCGGACGACACGCGTTTGCTTGTGGTCGGGACCTACGCATTCCACTCTAACCCAATGGTATCTATGTATTTGAATTTTCCTCGACGGGATATATCCATCCGAAAGATTTATTTCAAATAACGAACGTATAATAATAAAGTGTAGTCATGTTTCTTACTAAAATTCCATGATAAAGTGTTTGTGAAATTTTGATGAAAAGTATAGCTTTCGACTATGTGTTCGACAACAAAATGATAAAATGGGTAATGAATTAACGGTATTTGATGTGCGTGCTTGTGCGCTTATACATGCGTGTGTGTACATATATATACATACATATATATATATATATATACATACATATGTATCTATAGACTTTTATTACTATAAGATAGGAACTTGAAAAGAAGAGATACGACTTCCTAGAGCTTGTTGGATTAATCGAATTTTTTCTAAATTTTCCGCTGGTATCCGTAGGGTGATGCATCTCCTGGATTAGAACGCTCGTTGGTTCGTAGCGCGGCTTTTATCGTTCGCGGTTTAACTCGCGGCGTTCATCAGGGTATTAACAAATCGCTCGTTTCCTTCGCCAGACACGAATCGTTTCTCATGCGAGCCTGGAAATGGATCTGGGAATGGTACTCTCGAGCTCCATGTCACGTTTCGCACTGGCGAATGCGCGCCGAGAATCATAGAAAAGCTTTGGTTAATTGTAAATGGTTTTCATGCGGAAACGAGTCAAATTTTTTCACGTTCACTGTCGAATAATTCAAAAGATTTTTACGTATTCCCCGATGTTTCCGCTCGTTTCTCTTTGCTTAATCCGTAAAAAGTAGAAAGAGTTTTTTGTTCGAGAGATCGTCGAGTCAGCACTTGATTCGCTTATTCGAGAAAACGAGCTTGCTTTATTAGCACGATCACGAGGATATCTAATTTAAATAATCGTCCCAACCCTTAACAAATCGGACTTACTTTGCGACTGTGGGATCAAAGGATGAGATAGCGGGATTATTTTTGTTAGAATTTCTTGAGGCCATCGTAAGAAGTCGTGGGTGTAAATTGGCACTCCTCCAAGACACCTCGTCAGCACCTAAAGGAGGAAACTAGGAAAAGAATGAGATGTGGGGTGGCTAAAGGCCAAAGAGAAGGAAGTCAAGGGGGAGTACATGCCTATATATATATATATATATTTTTTTTTTTTCCTTTTTATCGGTTCATTCGTTTGCCGGGAATCGAAGCGTTCCTCTTGAAATTTCGTTCCTTCGAAATCCAACGAACTGAGATGGTGTAACGTACACGAATTAGCATGAAGTTTTATCCAGAAAGTATTATAAAAGTACCATAATTCTCAGTCGTTCTTTGCTAATTCTAAGACATTAACTTCTCTTCATCCATTATATAGCACTAATTGCCATGGCTTCTCTCCAAGTGTCGTGCCTTTTCTCTTTTGCATTTGCCTACGTTCTCGTTCACTCACCTTCCTTTTCTCTTCTTCTTCTTCTCATCTTCTCCGTATCTTTCTTTTCGTCTCCTCGGTGTTTCTACGAGTTTCAATAGCCTCGGCATTCGTCTCGTAACTCTTGCTCCTCCTTTTCCACCTTTTCTCGTGTCACTGAACGTGTTTCTTTATTCCCGTCCATGTTCTTTTAACGTATTTTTAACATCCCTTTCGGAAGTCAAGTCCTTTGAAAGAAGCCGTACAAAGAGATATACGTATAATGGTTACGAGTCCGGTGTAATTTAGAAATGAATGAAAAGAGCGTCGAGTTTCTTCGTATAAGAGGTAGTTTGAATTTGTAACGAAACATAAAAAATAAACTACGAGAATGGGAATGCCACATAGTCGTTAATTTCACAGAACGAAACAAAGTTATGGCAACGATGAACAAGAAGAATAAGAAGACGAAGATGATGATGATGATGATGATGATGATGATGATGATGATGACGAACAAGCAGACATATTTATCTGTGAATTTCCTCGAGCCTTTCCGTTATCCTTCTCGATTTGGTCTCTTCGAAACTTTAATTACGTTATTCCAACAACGAACAGCCATTACAAAACTTTTGGGCAAGTTTTAGTTTTACGATGAGTAGCCGAGAAAGAGAGAGAGAGAGAGAGAGAGAGAAAGAGAGAAGGGCACCGGAAGTAACCGGTCTCAACAGCTTGATTCAAAGTGGCGGATGTCGGATATCATTGTTTTCTAGGATAAGGGGTGAAGGTAAGAGAGAAGGGTGATACGACATGCACTCGCGAACTACTCTAATGCATCCCGTATGCCTCGAGGAAGGAAGATGCTCTCCAACATCCACCATTTCTCTTTATCTATCTACCTATCTCTTTCTCTTGCTCAAACATACATGGACACACATACACACATACATATACGTATTATCTTCCTCCTTTCACACCAAGCAGCTATGTCTGTACGCCTACGCGAGCAAAACTAAAAGGTATTCATCCTGGAACAAAGTCGTCCAACGCACGTGAACGTTCTCACGAGACTTTGCGAATGTTACAGAAAGAGAGCGAGAGAGAGAGAGAGAGGGAGAGAGAGAGAGGGAGAAGAAGGGAAAGAGAGTGTGTATACATTGTACTAAATAGAAAGGAGCAGTAGGAAGATCTAATACACCTTTGTCACGTAGACATACGCTGGATATTAATTATACCTTCGTTTTCAATGTTAACCGAATGCAATCTTTACTAATCAATCGGTTTATCCTCCTTCGAGAACAATGAGATTTATGAAAAATGACGATAATCTATTTAGAAAACTTGACGACGTTGACGAGATAGTAAAAGAAAGAAAGGGGGATGAAGAGTAACCATCGTTGAGATCAGTTCGCGGTTGTCTGCACGTTAACGGGCTAGAAATTCTCAACGTGCTGCTGCTATTGCTGTTGCTGCCGTTACCGCTTCTACGTGCTACTGAGAAACGTTGAAGCATCTGCCACGGAAATATCAAAGCGTTTATTGGTTCCCGTCGTGACAAGGAAATGTTACGTCGAAATTTTAATGAATCTCATTACATGAAACGAACTTGCGGTGACGTCAAATCTTATGTACATATATATATACATATATATATATATATATACACACACGTATATACAAGACGGTTCCATGTAAAGTTTTAGCGCTTTACCCGTATCAGTCTGTGTAATTATATGTAGAAATACAGGACGTCCCGTTTATCTTGGAAAATTGGAATATCTAGCGTGCAATGCGTTTTTTGCAAGTCGAGTGGTGGGTGAAATTTCAAAGTCAAATTCATTTTATTTTAAATGGAACTCTATTATTTTTCTTTTTTGCAATTCATTGATATTTTTATAATGAGACGACGTAACGTATAAGATCATTTATTATCGCAAAACGTTAGAAATGATTTTTTAAAATTTGTGAATTTTTAATTAACGAGTATTATCGTATATCGCTAGTTGCCAATTGTTAGTTGCCAATGTTGTAAACAAAGACCGTATTATTTTTATAAAATAAATTTCCGTTCATTTAACTCCGTAATTTGAGAAGCATAAAGAGAAATAAACAGTCTGGCTTTTGTTTACAAAATGTAATCAAGCGTATTATATCCATTGATAGGACGTACTTGAAGTAACGCGTCAATTCTTTTTTTAATCTCTTTAATATTTATAAATCCGCCGTATTACGTGGATTGAGAATAGCGGCTTTAAGAGGATAACTTTACTTTTTAGCGTTTATATTCGGGTCAGACCGTTATCTCCGGTCTCTTTAATTCCTTTTTCTTTTTTTTTTTCTTTTTCCCACGAAACACTGCGTCTCCTTTACTTTTTCCAAAATGTTCACCTCTCCTATCTCGTAGATTTCGTCCCACGTTCTTGTTCTTTAGAAACATTTCCAATTTTGTTTCTTCCAATCTTTCTTTCTCGAGCATCTTTTTTCTTTCTACTTCTTTTTCTTCCTTCTTCTCTTGCTCTATTTTTTTTTCCTTTTTCTTCTTTTTATTATTATTATTTTTTCTTTTTTTTCCTTGTGTATCTTCCATGGCTACTGCATAATAAGAGAGAGAAAGAGAGACGTTCTAAGAGAAGTTCAGAAGCAGCGCTCGCAATATCATCGTAGTAGAGTAAAATGGAAGACTGATATGAAACAAGATTTTACTAGGCGGTTTCTCTTGGGATGCGGACAAGTACCTCTCATCTGGAATATTGCCAGTACAATATATGCAACGCATATTCGATATTTTTCTATTTCTCTCTTGTTTTTCATCTTTTCACAATTTTCAATTGATATATTTCCTTCGAAAGAGCTCATGCGCGATTAACGGTAAATGCAAAAACTCTAAATTTTCCGATATGAATCCGTAAATTTTCCGATGCGTTTAACGAATCGCAAAACGTTGCATTTTATCGAGAAAAAAAAGAATATAAAGAATTGTAATCAAGAGTGGCTCGGACATGGATTTACATGGATTGTAATGTTTCTCTCTCTCTTTCTCTCTCTCTCTCTCTCTCTCTCTCTCTCTCTCTCTCTCTCTCTCTCTCTCCGTGTGTATGTGAGCGCGTGCTTATGCTCATGTGCATGCATATCGACATTCAATAATAGCGTAACAATCGATTTCACGTCAATAGAAAAAGATTCCCTTTTCATTAATCTATAGGAAAAAGGATGATACGTACGTATGTATTTGAAATGTTATAATCAATCGGAAGAAGATAAATATTCGTAAAAAGATATTATAATAATAACTTGAAATGAGATAGAATTTCGATGGAGAAAACAAGTCAACGAACTCACCGTTCCTCTCAATTGACACAGATATTGTTTATTTATTAATATAAGAGAGAATCGCGTTTAATTCAAAGATACGTTTACCCGCGAGCAATCCGAAATAATCTGACGGACCAATCGTCGTTGAGACGGCGCCGGCGCCGTGACCAATCGGGCGCGGCGATTCTATACGCGCCGTTGAGTCGAGTGAGAAATAGCGAAGCGAAGTCTAATCCGAGTGGAGCCGAATAGAGGCGAAGGTGAACGAGCGTGCTTGGCTCCACTCCCGGCTGGTTGCCGTGCGCCAGTCTACGACAAGACTTCGTGCGGTCGATATCGGAAGCGCTTACGCGCTCATCGAAATTTCGATATCGTTTTTTTTTTGAAGGAGGACTCCCCAGTGTGTCGCGTGACATTATCCGAAACGAACGTAATTCTTCTGCTATGCGTAGAGATCTATTTCAGGCATATTATTTTCAAACAAACGGTTTATACTTTATTTGATTTCATTTTTTAGTTTTATTAAACGATATAACAACGTGGTGCTTTGTGAAACTTGCGATCGCGTGACGTAAAACCTTTTAGAAAAGCTCAAGATACCGAAATACACATACATATATATATACAAAGACGAATTATCGGATTCGATGGTATATAAGTGTTCGAAAAGGTCAGTTGTCGTCGGATCGTCTCTACGTTTTCTTTGCTATTCTATTCTCTAGTGCAGCACGCGGAGGAATCAAGGAAGAACTCGTCTTTGTACGACGCTAAAGGCCAAGGCTACTGCTGTTGCTGCTGCTGTTGCTGCTGCTGCTGCTGCTTTCACCGAGGAGAGCTTCCACTGGAAGTGAGAGAGAGAGATAGAGAGAGAGAGAGAGAGAGAGAGTGAGAGTGGGAGAGAGAAAGACGGACAAAGGAAGAAAATGAGCGAGTGAGAGGGAACGACGACGAGTCGGCACGTGGGCAAGCCAAGATCAACCGAGGGTTTGTTGTGCGTGGTGGTGAAAGTGAGAAAGGTAAGTGTTACGTAACCGAACACGCGGACTTTGCTTGACTTTATCTCGTTTCGTTGTTTTACCGCGTAAGGGAATCCGAACGAAGCAAAATCCATTACGGTCGGATGCGTTCTACTCTGTTTAATTTTATAACCTTTTTTCTACCCCTGTTTTTTCCTCTAAGACAACCAATTTATATATATGTATGTACGTACGTATTAATAATACGTACATACGTTTGTTAAATTATTTCCTTTGTTGGAGATAAAGACAAAAGTCGTAAATCGTTCGACGCACGTTTAGACACGCATGAAAACAGGAAGGCCAATTAGATGTCATTCCATTAAAAATCTTTAAGCGAAAGAAAACAACGATATATCAAGGAAGGACGACCTCTCTTCCTCTAAATTTATCGAGTGAAATTCATTCATTATCTCGATGGTTTTTTCTTTTCTTTTCTTTTCTTTTTTTTTTTTTTTTTTTTTTCCTTTTTTTTTGCGATAACATTTACATTCGTTTTATCAAATAAATTCCTTTCGTAAATGATGGCAAACATAATCGTTAATCATCCGTAATTAGTTAGATCGATTTTCCTGTCAGCATAGTCACGCTACGATCGACCGTTCGAAAATAACTATACATTTAATATTTCATCGTCTTGTATAATTATGCATTATTATTATTATTATTATTTTCGTCGATATTTAATGGAAACGTATCAGGTGACTCGATTAAATATAAATAAAACTGCGATATATTATCTGTTTTTATATTATTAATATCTGTTAAATATCACTCTCCAGATGTAATAAATATTTTCCGTAACAATTTAATTGAGAACGATCGATATAATTAAAGTCGAATGAAGGTAACCGTAACGAGATCGTAGAAAGTTTAGGAAATAGTAAATGATCGAGTACGTGTAAGAAGATAGAAAGAGATAGAGGATTTTGTTAGAGACACACGGAGCACCAACTTCGATATATATCGCGTTTTAGTCAAAAAAGAGAGCGAGGGAGGGAGACGATGGCTTTAATCGAATTTCATCCAACGAATATCGACCTTCGAAGAGTACTACAATGTTAGGAACATCTATACACCACGTTTTCTGCGCAATATAAACCTTTTATATTTCATCGAGAAAATATTGTATATTGTATTATGCATACATCGTAAATTTAGATACGTATATAATACGTTCAAAGAATATTCATGGACGTAATGTACAAGTATGATTTTTTATTTTTGTTTTTTTTTTCTTTTTTTTCTTTTTTTTTTTAATTTTTGGCAACATAAATCCATTAGGAATAATCTATATTAATTAGAATCATTCACAAGTGGTACGAAAGAAAGGGATTGAAGAATAAATAGCTTCACTCGGTCTTTTTTTCTTTTTTTTTTTGAATTCTATTATTGTCTGAAACCTGTCAGAATTCGTATCAATTAATTAACGCGAGACGTCGTTTAAAGCGAGGTCAGAGTTTGCCTAATTGGTAGATAAAGCAATCGAGAATAGTCTTGGGAGCTATTGGAATAAGTCGGTGGATGATGAGAGGCTGCCATTGACCCGTCATCAACGGCTTGACAGTCATCGTCCGACATTGTCGTAAATTTCAACGCCCCCAAAGCAAAAAGCATTAGACAGAGAGAGAGAGAAAGAGAAAATATACCGGCGAATCATTAGCGATTATGCACGGTTAACTTAACTACGAGGTCTTTGGACTTTTGTAAAGTATTATTATTATTGTTATTATTATTATCTACATCTTTTTTTTTTTTTTTTTCTTTTTTTGATTTAATTTTTTTTATCATCATAGACAAAATTGTCTCGAGACTTGTCAATTTTGTTGTCAAAGTTCAAGAGTACTTAGTTAATTTTACCGATACATAAGAATATATAAATTTATCTCTCGGTAATATACGAGCGTATTTGTCACACGAAAAACAGAGATTTCTTTAAACATTTTCTATCGGTCTCTATCGTACGTTTTACGAGCGGGCGTTTTCATGTCTCGTTGCTATCAAAATTGTGACATTCACTCTATCTACTCGTCTCCGTTGTTTCTCTCTCTCCCTCTCTCCCTTTTTTTATCACGTTATTGCCGTGTTTTCCTTTTTGTTCTCTTGTTATTTGATGGCTTTGATTTTTTGACAGCAAAAAGTATGGTTATCGATCTCGTCGTCGTTTCTCGTCACGTTTGAATTACCTTCTGAATTTATATGGAGAATGAGAGGTAAAAAGTGAGAGAGAGAGAGAGAGAGAGAGAGAGAGAAAGAGAGAGAGAGAGAGAGAGAAAGAGGACTGATAAAGAAAGAGAGATAATAAATCGTTATAAAGATTTACGTCTATTCATTCGCAATGACGAAATTGCGCATTGTCCTGCAGAGTATGAAGAGGAGCAAATAGATTAGGAAAGATGCATGTGTTAGCAGCACTGATCACTATTCATTGTATTATATACATGATATATGTATCGTTACATATGTAGGACTTTTATCGTAGCTCTTTTGAATGTTACTTCGCGTTAATCTTTCTCTCTCTTTCTCTCTCTCTCTCTCTTTCTCTAAACAGAATCGCTGGATCGTTATCACATCGCTACAACTTTGGTGATTAGAGTACAAGAGCATTGGTACGTGTCAATCCTAGTCGCCTCTCTCTCTCTCTCTCTCTCTCTCTCTCTCTCTCTCTCTCTCTCTCTCTCTCTCTCTCTCTTTCTCTCTCTCTCTGTCTATTTCTATCTCTCGTAGAATAACGTCTATGATTCTTGCTGAGGATGCCCTAATGAAAGCATAAAGAGGGATTGAGATGAAATTACGCAGAAGCTATGTTTCTCCTTGAGTGCCTTTCCTAGTATATTCTACGTTTGTTAATACTATCATAACTTTAAATTACGTATAAATATATATTTACGAGAGACCGTTCATTTTGCACAGCTTGTGATTATTAATTAGAAATAATAGACGATTGCCACGAGATCTTATCGAATTCTTCTGTATTTTTTCCGTGTTTTTCTATTTTTTTTCCTTTTTTTTCCTTTTTCTCTTTTTTACGAGTAAACCTATACAACAGACAAATAGATATAATGATAAGAATACATGTAAAATTCATTCGCAGCAATCAAAGTGTCACGAAAGGTCGTTTTATTAAAAATTTCACAAATCATGAAGAAGAGAAATATCGATCGATATAATCCGTTAAACGAATTAGAAGTTTTTGAAACGATAGCAAAGCTTGGTTTGCCTAGCTCTAAAAGTCTCATCAATCACTTGGAAATTGCAATCGTTTCGCCATTTCCGCGACAGCGAGCCGGGTGAATTGTAGGCGCGTGAAATCGTTTTCGTTTCGAAAATTTATTGACCCAGGTATAACGATGATAACGACTACGACGATGGCGTGATTCGTTTATGGACCATTTTTTGCTTCGAATAAAAGTTTCTCTCTCTCTCTCTCTCTCCCTGCCTGTACGTATGTCTATATGTTTGTATACGCATTCAAGTGTCGAATACCTCATGACCAATTAGTATCAATGACGTTTGACCTTCTCGCATATTTATAATCGTCTGCATAAAGACGCGGAGCAGCCAACGACGCGTGGAAATTTGAATAATCAGTCTCGGTCGCGTGGCACACACAACGCATACGCGTAGTCCCGTCCTATGGATTATCTCTCTTCTCGTTTGAGTCACTCTATTCGTCTCTCGGAAAATTTCATTTCGCAACTTGCACCGACGTCTAACGAGCTTTCAGACTTGACGAAGATGAGATCAGAATATTAGATTAAATGTTTGAATTTTGAAAGAGTCTATCCGATTATTGAAATTTGAAATAAGACATTAGAATTTCTCGACATTATCGAAACGAAGGGTTGTTTCGTAACAGTCCCTACAAGTTTCTCCGTACTTTTGGAACATTAACGCTCGGAACAAACCTCGTTCGTGTGCTACTGAGAGAGAGAGAGAGAGAGAGAGAGAGAGAGAGAGAGAGAGAGAGAGACACAGAGATAAAGAGAAAGTGGGAGAGAGAAGATAACTCTGCTAACTACATTACGTTAAAAGTCTCGTTAAACGTGCAGCGAGTTAACCATTAATTAATGTACCGTCCGAACGGCTCATTGGTTTTCGTGTCACACGTACAACGAAAGCTTGCAAACTTTCCAGACTTGTTAGTTAGCCTAATCTTGTAAGTGTATAACTTTTTTGTATATCTCGGCATGTGATTGTTGTCTGAAAATGTTGGACAATATTGTTAAAGTTTTGTTGCGTTAATATTCAAAATCTCCAATGTCGGAAAATAACCCATCGGACGGATTGTTATAAAAATTACCAAAATCAGCCGAGTTAGAAGGAGCTCGATGAGATAGGAAACAATACGAGATTTTCTTCACTCTCGTTTGAGCTTACGTATAAGTCCTTTGTTCTACTTTTTTACGGAAACCCTTAAAAGCAGGAAACGCGGAGAAAACGTAGTCTGTTTCTCTCTCTTTCTCTTTCTTTCTCTCTGTCTATCTATTTCTCTCATCGTTCAACACGTTGCGAAGCGCACAAAATATTCCACGGAAAACGCGTCTAATTTTTGGACTTTTTCCAGACGAGTAGAACGAGCGAGAGTCCAAATGAGAGCTAATAACAAAAAAGAAAAAAAGAACAAAAAAAAAAAACTGGCAAAATGTGTAACTAGAATACTTTGAACGTATATTCATCGACAACGTTACGTGTCTTGATAAAAAGTAATCGTACTATGTTAGATCGAAAAGTCGTTGTTAAATATTATTTATTTTTTTCCCATTTTCGTATGTTTCTAATAGTAACGATTTTTCAAATTGTCGAGTCGAGAAATAGAAAGAGAAAAAGAGGATGCATGTGGAAGAAAAGGAAAGAAGATAGAGAACAAGGGTGGCCTGACGAAAGCTTCAGGGGGTTGGGAATTAATCCAGCTCGTGCTGTGAGTAGTCTCCGTATGCAATTCTCGACCCTTCGTCAACCCTTTGCTCTTACATTCCTTTCATTTCCTCTCTTTCTCTCTCTCTCTCTCTCTCTCTCTTTTTCTCTCTATATCTCCTTCTATTTTTCAGATTTCAAGCTCGGGTATAATCCACGTATTCGTCTGTTCATTCTGGTATAATCCACTGACAAAAGACGCGTTAAAAAGCACGAACACATATGCAATTTTGATATTTCAGATGCAGATGACTTCTTTTGGAGGGAAAGAGAGAAAGAGGGCGGGGAGAGGAAGAGAAAACAAATATTGATATTTTTATATTTCGAAATGCATAATGGAATGGTTATTATATAAATTATATCGACGATTTAATTTTAGGACAGGAAAACTAGAAACCAATTTTGTACTAGTCGTTCTCATTCTCGCGAACTCGTCGAGTTCGGTTTTAAACGTCTGTTGGTCAGCCAAATTGAAGGGCGAATGAGAGAAGAAAGGAGGAACGAAATCGTCGGCATTGATGCTCGCAAAGGTCGATCGATTTCCCACCTGGACGTCGTCCAAATTCGTGACATCGACGAAAATGGATTCGGTCCTCTCTCGCGTAAGTGCGCGACGCTCTTCGATGTCCTCTATTTTATCGGTCTGGTTTTAGCTCGAGGGATAGTTGCGAAAAAGAGAATAAGAGACAGAGAGAGAGAGAGAGAGAGAGAGAGAGAGAGAGAGAGAGAGAGGAAAAGGAAGAACAGATAAAAAGTGATTCCTATTCTCGTGTATTATTTGCAGCCACATCCATTAAAAGCAAGGAACGTTTAAGGGAAAAATATCTTTTTTGTTTTACACTTTTTCTCATACATATTTATATAGAAATATCGCGCAGATAAATATTTCAATCGGATCTCGAAATATTCCCATTCGACGGAATGGAATTTACGTCAAAATTGTTCGATTCGATTGTAATAAATACCAATATAATAAATGCCGAATGACACTTTAACGTAGCTAGGCAACAGCTTATTTGTTGTATTTAAATGCCGAGAAATTAACTTCGACCAATTATCTCTATATTGGGTTTTCTAAGCAATGATATATCGGAGTATTTAATATTTCGTATATAAGAGCTAGTTTAATGAACCGGCAAAGTAATTGGATTCGATCGCATAATCGCTCGATGCTGCGCGCAACCTAAATTCTAAGTATGGAGAAACACGCGACTCTCTCTTTCTCTCTCTCTCTCCTTGGAATATAATGAAATAGGTACTTCCTTTTTTTCTCTTTGTTTATTTTTGCCTTCCTTTTTTTTCTTCCTTTTATTTTCCTTTTTTTTTTCCTTTTTTTTTTCAACCTTGTCAGCGTGCTATTATTCTTCGAAAGATATAAATGTTTATTACGTAATTGATAAAAATCGAAACACTTTATCTAGTTTATCTAATGACAAATATTATGGCAAGAAACTTATCAGATTTTTATTTAATTCCTAACACTCGAGAGATATTAATATTTTTCTATTATTTAATCTGACTTTTGAAAAATCACAACAATTCCACCATTTCTCTTTTTATTACCTTTAAAAACGTATCAAATGGAATCGTCGATATGCAATTCAGAAAGTTCCTATATTATGCCAAAAACGACATCGTTTCGCGTCAGTTCGTAGAACGTACCGAACTCGACCTCGACCTCGGATAATCGTAGATCCTTTCTCCTTTAGCTTTATTATCCGATAAACTACGTTCCGTACGGGAAGAAATGGCAAAAGAGAAGGAGGAGGAGGAGAAGAAGAAAAACGAAAAGAAATGAAAAAGGGAGAATCGAAGTAAACTCTACGACTATAATACGTAGGTTTCTTCTCGAAAATATTACATATTCTTCTTCTTCCTTTCTCTCTCTCTCTCTCTCTCACACACACACACACACACACACTTGCACTTTTTTGTCCAGCGAAATGAGAGAAGAAAGAAAGACGAAAAAAACAAAAAAAGAAAAGAGGAACGAACCACAAGCCATTCTCTCGGTAAGAGAGGTCAGGAGAGGATGGTAGTCACGAGTCGTGGAGTATAAAAGTCTACGGTGAGGGCGAGGGTGCTCGTAAATCAGAGGGAGGATGCCTCTCCGAGTCATAATTTATCGTTGTCGAGCTTCCGAAAACAACGAGCCTCGTTGTTTCGTAAGGGAGCCCTTCGTCCGAAGCACCAAGTTTAATTGAAGTTCCGAGAGGATAATGTTGCAGGATATCGAGGAAACTAGGTAATAGAGGGGGAGAGAGAGAGAGAGAGAGAGAAGATTGATAAGATATTCTCAAGGGTCTTAATTCGACGTGAATGAGATCGTGTAAAAGGAATTCGTCAATTAACAAAATTGCTGATTGAATATCTCTATTTTATCTACTTTAATAATTTCTTTTTATTTATTTTTCCTTATTTTTTTATTTTTTTATTTTTTTATTTTTTTTTTTTCATAGGTAAAAGATCACACCTGCAAGGAGAAAGAATACATTTTATTACTTTCTCTTTTGTTTTACTTTTAATTTAGAGGACATCACTTTTTAATTGATATAATGCGTTTATTACTTTACGTCAGTTTGCGTCTTATCTGTACATTATCATCCTTCAAGATGTATTGTTTTTAATATGTTTGGAAGATATATGACTAACGTTAACCTCGGAGAAAGATAGATGGATAGATAAAGTTAAAAGAGAGAAAGAGATAGAGAGAGAAAGGAAGGAAGAAAGAAAGGAGGATATCGTCGTTGGTGGTAGACGTCTGGTACATAACATACAATTCAATTTATATGCAACGTATCGAGCGTGCTCTTCATTATTCAGAACTCTATGGTGGAAGTTAAAAATTGTGCGAGACACTTTAAGTGGAAAAAGTTTGAACGCGAACATGGCTCGTATACATATAGAATGTACATATATAAACGCTCGCATTGGGAGGAAGCGATAAAGTTTTCTTAGGAAATAAAAGAGAGATGATTGATAGGCTTATCTCGTGTCCGTCTTTTATGACGTTATCCACTTTGTATTCATCGCATCAAACTGTTCATATGGTATCATTCATCATGGCTCTTCTTCGAACATCTGCCGACGTTTCGTATTTTCTTATCGAAGAATTTACGTTTTTAAAAATCCTCTTGTAAAAGATCTTTTTGTTAATGTTTCGCGTCGATAATTATCGAGAGAATCTTCTTCATCGCGGAGTACATTTTCTCTATAGTATTAGCTCTTTCTCTTTTTTTTTTTTTTTTTTTTTTTTTTTTTTTCTATGGAAACTTGTTGTTTGGTAGTAGTTATTGTCCTCCGTAGTAGGCAGGCAATTCGAGCCAAGCCAAGCCACAAGCAGGAACGATACGAAGGCAATAATACCATTGAAAATACGATTCTGTCAGGGATTTTCCTGGCCTTTTCTCTTCTCTATCCGATAGCTGCCTTGCACCATTCACCTCTACTATTATCCGGTTCATATCCGCCTTATTATAGTTCTTCCTCGTATTTCAGTTCGTAGTTTGCGCGTGTGTAGTAAACGTGCACCGTACATCATCCACCGTGATTTAGAATTCTCTACGAGATAATAAAAGCATTTTGTTCTCGTTGAGCGGCAACGAGCACTTGATCGCCCATCCCTTAACTTTTCTATTCCTACTGGCTAATTATACGAGTTCGAAAGTCATGAATTATGAAGGATATCCTCGTAATTGTTCACCGAGGCGTGTCTTCTCATTCATTCGTCCGCTCGTTCGTTCGTTCATTCATTTTTGCACTCTTTAATTTTTCTTCTCTTTTTTTCTCTCTCTTTACTTTTTTTTTTTAAGTTTTAATTCGAGCTTGTTGCAAAGTCACGACAACGTACTCGAGCATACGAGTTAGAGAAAGAGGGAGGGAGGGAGGGAGAGAGAGAGAGAGAGAGGTGGAACGGAATAAAAGGGAGAGGAACGATATCATTAAATCGGGCTCGAGTGAAATTGCTTTTTGCAGGGCGTTGCGCGAAAGGAGTCCGACCACGACCCTCTCTCCTCTTCCTCCCCAAACCGAGCACATTTTTGTCCCTTTCTTTCGTTCTCTCATTTTTTCCTTCCATCTATCCTTCCTTCCTTCCTTCCTTCCTTCCTTCCTTCCTTCATTATCGAGCTTATTTTTGCGCCAAGTCGGTGACGTGCGCTCGTTGTATTAAGCTCGCGTATTAAGCTCTCCTACGATTGTAATCGTTTCGTTCCATGCTACTAACACAGAAAGAGAGATCTTGAAAAAGCTCCATCTTTTCTGTTTTCTTCTTTATTATTTAAGAGGAGAAAAGAGAATTATTTTCATTTCTATTATTAATATTGCATATAATGGTGTTACGAGAGTACGAAAAAATATTTTATTATCGATTTTATTCTCCTCTTCTTCCTTCACCTCTTTTTACGTTTTCGTTATCACGCACTCAAAGAGTACACAATTATCATTATTATTATTATTAATGTTATTATATACGTGATAGCAAAACAGTGGAAATTTATTTTATTATCGATAACCACTTAGAAGGGATAAAAAGTAGATACAATTTTTGTCCTATATTTTTTTCTTCCTTTTTTTTCTCTTTCTTTTCTTTCTCTTTCTTTTTTTTTTTTTTTTTTTTTTTTTTTTTTATCGCCTTCACCTTATCCGATATTTATTGCGCTAATAAAACAAATGACATAGAATGTACATGTACACACATACACCAACGGTGGTCTAACTAGGTATGTTTCTTTATGTTTACGCGTTCATCGTGTAATTCTTTGTTTTTTTTTTTTCTGTTTCAGAGGAGTAGAAAAAGAGAGCGAAGGCGTACTTTATTGGAAAAGACTGCTGGATTGTTTACTTTGACGAAGCGTAAGTTTTTCTTTTCCCCTACGTTCGTGTTTTGTTATATTTATATATATATATATATATATATACAGACTATCATATGTTCGATATAGTTTGCTATCGCGCCTTAGAGAAAAAAACTTTATCTTCGGTTGTTCCTGCATAATTAAGATAATAGTTTACTCGGTTCTCAACATTCTACGTTCCTTACGTTCTTCTCTTCACTATTTCTCATCGAGTCGTACGGTTAATAGAAAATAGAGAGTTGAGAACACTTTTTACGCGTTATCGCGTAAAACATTTGAAACGATAATCGTTATGCTATGTAACGCTATATTTTACAAGCGTCTGGTAAATACGTCACCGAAGACTATAAGAAAGGAAACGATACTCGGACAAAGTTAATAACGATCCAATGAATTTTATAAGGAGGAAAGAAGACTCGATGAAACGCGTTTGTTATGTTGTATGTGTGTATACATGTGTGTGTGTGTGTGTGTGTGTTCTACGAGAGAGAGAGAGAGAGAGAGAGTGTTCGAAGATCCTTGTATATGCGTTTATGTGTGTGAAATAGAAAGAAAAGATCTTGAAAGAAAATTGACGAGTAGGAAGAAAATACTCCTCTCGATCGGCGATTTTCTCAGAGAAAGAGAGAGGTAGATAGATAAAGAGAAAAAGGATGGCCAAGTAATCCCAGTTCGAATCTCAGGTGGATCTCGACGTCTTTGCTCCATTACCCGTTCGACTGCGGCCCGTTCCACTGAAAAGAAAAGGCGATTGATACGAAATACTCCATAAGAATCCAATCTCAGAAATGGCAAGAGGCAAAGTTCGCTCGGTGTGTTGGACCTACCAGAAATAGTAGCATAAAAATAGTAACAGTAATACCGATCGCTTTCCTCTTCCATCGGTTAACTTTCTTCCACGCTTTTTCTCGACTTTTCCTTTATTTTCTTATATCTTTACTTTTTCATTCTTTTTCTCTTGCTTTTTTTTTTCTTCATCGAAGAAAGCTTTAGATTGGATTTAGAATCTCTTCTTCTCTTCTTTCTTTTCATTTTTTTTCTTTCTTTTTTAACTTATTCTCTCTCTCTCTCTCTCTCTCTCTCTCTCTCTCTCTCTCTCTCTCTCTCACCCTCCACCCATTCGTCTCTTTTTTCCTTTCTTATTGTTTTTGGAACGATCAGACCTCGTTTTTCAGTTTGACGATTTTTCCAAATTTACCAAACGTTATTCTTCTTTAAATAGTTCGAAGAAAAGTTCATTCCATTTCTGAAACGAGATTCGTGTGTGAGATTCTTCTGAATGGAGAGAAAAAGAAAACGAAAAGGACACGTTTCTACCTTCTCTCGAGCTTAACTCGATCCATTATTTATGCTGTGAACACGTTCACGCATACAAGCGTACGAATGGGGAATATTGTATAGAAACGTGTTTGGTGGTGCGCGTGTACGCGCGTGTGTCTGTGTGTGCGTCGTACTTCGTCGATCTGCTCTCCGTATCGCGATCATTCGGACGCACAGATCGCATTTCCCGGTAATTCGTCGTTTCCTTCATTTTCTCCTTCCCTCTTTGCGACACGGTGCCCTGTATATTCTCCAGCTTGCATGCACACACAGATCTACACGTGACTCGATGAGATATTACATATATACAGAGTGCATCATCCTACTACATCAGGGCCGCATTCGACGCACGCAATAAAATGGATTTCTCTTATTTTTATCGAGAAACGACGTACCTTCCAAATGTTTCCATCTCGTCTACGTTTCAATTTTTCCTTCCGAGAGACCGGGATTTTTCTCGTCTTTTTCTTTTTTTCCTTTTTCTCTCTCTCTTTCTTTCTTTCTTTCTTTCTTTCTTTCATTCGTTTCTTTTTCTTTTTTTATACGAAAATAAGAAGAGAAAAATGCAAGATGTTTCTGATGCGTATATGCACGCGTCGTTTGCGCGTGCTATAGATGAAGAGTTACTTGAAAAATGACTCTAGCATGATTCAAAGAGAATAATGCTAGAAATGTTCTTTTCGAGCTCGTCGATGCGCGAACGAGCGTCTCGTTCTATTAAATCGAATCGATCTTTAAATTTATCGACTACCTACGAAACGATGTTTCGTAAGTGTGTACATATCGCTAATATGTTTTGTTCGATATCGATAGACGAGATAATATATATATATATATATATATATATATGTATGTGTATGTATATATATATATATATATATATATATATATATCTGTTCGAGATCTCGGTATGCCCTGTATACGTAGGATGAATGGTGCAACTCTATTTGGACGGTTAGCTCGTGCAATTGTGCTCGTGCATTCGGAGGATACGTGCAATTTGAGATAATGTCGTTTCTCGTAGAGTCGTGCTCGTAACGTCGACTTGCACGACGTTCCACTCGTATTACGATTCTCTTCTTCTAGCTCTTACTGCATGTATATCTTTCTTTTATTTTGCGATTGGTCGAATTGAAAATTGGAGTGAACATCGTAGATTATCTTTTCTAATCTAATCGAAGGTGATAACAAATTTCATAGCAAAAGTATTATCTTTCGAAACATATTTATTATATGTTAGCTGATACGTAAATGTATGTTCGAGCTTAATGGGAATTTGAATTTTTTTTTCTTTTTTCTTTTTTAATTTCTTTTTTTTCCTCGATTTAAATCGTTAAGGGATATGCATTAAGGGAAAAGAGACTAATTATTTTCATATTCCTTATCGCTCGCGTATCTTATCTCTTTACGGTTAGGTTGACGTAGACACGGTCGATAATTTTACGTGGAAACATTGTCATCGTGAAACGAATCTTAAAGGCAAACAATTACATCGAATAAAGTTACGACGTCTTCGTAAAAGGGACTCGAAGATCCAGGAGGGTTTGCTTCTTTTTATTTCCTATCGCGACTTGAAAAATGTCCAAAAATTGAAGAAAATGGTGAGGAATGAAATCGAAGAAATGCGCGGACATAGCAATCTCGAGGTATAACCTTGGAGCATACATTATAAGCGAACATTCACACGGCCCTGAGAAACAAATTACACGTACGACCTAGCTTCTGACCACCGCCGGGTGGCACGCAATTTAATCCGATCCGTGGCAACTCTATTCCCTTGGAGAAACCGCGCTCTTCCAACTCTTCCAACTTCCTCTCGGAGTAATTGCAACGTGACTCCGACGACCCTTTTCAAAATTACTTTCAAATCTTGCAAAATTTTCTTTTGCGAACGAGCCATTTAGCCAAAGAACATTTTTCAATCTTAAAATGATCCCTTAATCGAGCATAGATTGTATTTATTATTTATTACAGGCAACGTCGATCGTACAATTTTCTTTTTTTTTTTTTTTTTTTCATCTACAGCATCAATTAATTCCCGAGGGAAAAAAAAAGAATCCATTCGTCGAAGATTAGACTTTGATTTCTTATTTTCATCTTGTCCTTGCGTTATAAACGAAAATTCAGGACGATCTTTTTAGGAGTTCTTCCTAGCTCACCTTCGACATTTCTCCTGGGTCAGCTACTTTTATTAAAGATTGAAAAACGTTATCTCGGTCGGACAGATAAATAGTAAGATACCACGTAGAGTTCTTTAAAATGAACTTTATCGTACTTTTAGTTACACGAGCTCCCTTTCTCTCTCTCAGTTTTAATTTCGTTTTCAATATCTCGCCAAGGTTCCGTTTCCCCTCTCAACTTTCGCACTCAACCTTTCCCGTGCTCGTTACAAATGGTATTCGGGATCGAGTTGAATGAAGTTCAACCCCTGAGGGAACTCGACGGTTGCTCGTTAATAAGGCCATCCGTTAAAGTCCTTGTACTTTTGGGCCACGTTGATCGGGAAGAAGAGGAAACGAGGAAACTGAGACCACGATCGATCGAGAGATAAAAAAGTGAAAGAAAATTTATCGATTTTACGACAGTCTTTCAAAGAGAAGATCTTTTTTTTTTTTTTTTTATTTCGTTTTTCCAAGATTTGCCAGAATATTTCGAACTATTTTCTCTCCCCCTCTCCTCCCCCCTCTCTCTCTCTCTTCCTTGTGTGTTTGAGAAATTCCAAAGGTAGTCGGGAAACGTTTAGGGCATTTATCGTGACTTCAAAACGTTCCTAAAGGATGATTGAAATCCAATACGGATTCGAAAGACGTTTCCACGTTTCGTATACTCGAGGAAATTCCTTCTGGCTGCTATGTGAAAAAGAAAGAAAGAAGAGTGAGGGAGAGAGAGAGAGAGAGAGGGAGAGGGAGAGAAAGAAATAGATAGAAAAGTTTTCTTATCGTTTTCGAACGATACCTCGTATAATCTCGAGTTCATTGGTAGAAATGTTTTCCGAGTACTTTTCAGTTATTCGTCCACTTTATCGTTTCTTCCCTCTTTTTTTCTTTTTTCTTTTCGAAAATGAGATTACGTTTCCGGAATATATATGTAAGAGCTCATATCGCAGTTAGAGTTCTTTTGGATTAGAATTCGCCGTTTAAAGTCTTGCGTCATTTTTCTTAGCACGTTAGCCGTTGTATCTAAAAATCCATCCTTAGTATTAGGTATTTCTTATAGACTTTTTTTTTAGAGTAGTTATGAGCTCGGAATATTATTTTTCTTTTTCCAGACTTGAAAGAAATTTTTACGAGCAGGAGTAACGTGCGAGGAACTCCGCGTGAGGAAACAAAAAAAAAAAAAAGACAAGAAAAAGATCCAAGAAGAAAAGTACGAAGGAAGAAAACAATAGATTTTCGAAGTGAGTGAAGACGGAAGACTAGCGAGAGGAAGAAATTTTACGAGACGCTCTTCTCGTGTATACAGATCGTTTGCTATAAAGTTCTTCATAAATTCTGGATGATTTATGAGCGTTCCATCGATCGATACATAGGCGTGGAAGAGGACAAAGAGAGAAGAGCGAAGCGACGTCGTAGTCATGGTGTAAAAGAGGAAGGAAAACGGAGAGAAAAAAAGAGAGAAGAGAAAAGAAAAGTAGGTATCTATATCTATCCATCGGTGGTTTTGCACAGGCACCACAATTTCAATGCGACGACGGATTGTGTGTATGATGGATCGTAATTAACGTGTCGACGCCTGTGTCATGTACCCCGTATCCTTCCTCTTCCTAATATTCCCCGCGCATTTTTTCGTTCCTTGCCTGGTCTCTGGCAAAAATTCGACTTTTCGAAAAGGTTTTCACACCTTTCGTTCGGCATCGACAATTTTTCGAAATTTCACGATTCCTCGTGGATTATCAAACGTTACAGACCGACGTAACTTTTTTCGTCCTCTCTTTTTTTTTTCCTTTTTCTTTTCTCTCTCTCTCTCTCTCTCTCTCTCTCTCTCTCTTTTTTCTGTTTTTCCCCATCTCGCTCGTTTTTACTCGCTTAGGAGTAATTAGCGGGATCATCCTTTTCGTGCTTTGCTAATCGGGAGATTAAACGTTTCTCTACTGCTCGTTATAACTTCACGAATGAAGAGTAAAGGATCTTATTATTTTCTGTCCCTTTCTCTCTTCTTTCCTTTTCCTTTCCTGTTTCTCTCGAGAGTCTCTTTATTCCGGAGATGATGATTTCCCAGTGAAATTTCCGGACAGCTTTCTAAGACTCTTTTCAGATCGTTCGTATAATTAATCTCTAACCATTTTGTAATTAACCGAGTCGAGGTTTTACTCTTTGATCGAATTTTCCTGTTTCAGGAAGGAAGAGAAAGAAAAGAAAAAACCTTAAACGAGACTCCGTCTAGTTCCGTCTTATTAATTTTATTTTTCATTTCTGTATGAACGGAGAAAGGCAATTAAGTTGGAACAATGAGACGTCAACACCTTCTCCTGGGAGTGTCCTTTCCTTTCTTTTTTCGAGTAGAGCAAACTCTTCCTTTACATTTTCGTCATTTTCGTCGAGAACCAACGTGATTCCTGATTTTCACGTGAAGATTCTTTTATGCAGGAAAAGGCAGAAAAGTAGAAAAGAAAGGCTTGTGATGACTAAAGAAGAAGAAAGAAAGACGGACACACACACACACACACACATATATATATATATATATATATATATATATATCAACTTACATTTTAATTCGAGGGTCTTCAAAACCCTCGTTTCCACTATGGCTCGCCCTTCGCACCCCTTCTTTCTTTCTTTCTTTCTTTCTTTTTTTCTTTCATTCCCCCTCTCTTTTCTTTCCTCTTTTTCGTTCACTCTGTTTCTTCGGTGTCTCTTTAGGTTTCCTGCCCTTCCAGGCAAGTTTACAAACCAACCCTCGAGCACCTTTCTTCGTCTCTACCATCGGTAGAAATTCTCTTTGCGAGTAGAACAAGACACTTTTTCGTCCCACCTCGTATATGCACCCTTCTTTTTCTCTTTCTTTTTTGCTTTTTACTCTTTTGTTTAATCTTCCATAACTTTCATTGCAATTTCTTCTATTTCTATGGTCTTTATATATACGATCGGATCTTAATAAAAGTTTACTCGTCTCTTCGCTTTTTGATTTTAATTTCAGATCGGCCTACTTCTCATCTGGAATCCTTAATTACACGAGATATCCTTGATATCTTCTTTCTTATCGGTCCACTCGAAAGGTTCGTTTAAAAGAACTCTCTCTCTCTCACACATACACACACACACACACTCTCTCTCTCTCTCTCTCTCTCTCTCTTTCTCTCTGTGTGTTTCTCTCTCGCTAAGCCGATCTTCTCGTCTTTCCCTGTTTGCCGAGCGTAGCCCTTTTTTTTCCTCTTTTGCTCGAAGACTCGCAAAGTTTTCAACATTGAAGAAAGAAAAAAGGAAAAGAGAAGAGAAGGAAAGTGCCGAGTCTTCGGTTTTACTTTTAGTTGAACGGCGGTTGCTCATACCTCTCGAGCAAGAGGAAAAGGGCTCAAAGTAAAGACTCTGTCCTTTTTATCATCTCTCTCTCTCTCTCTCTCTCCCTTATTCTTCTCTTAATGAAAACTCGAAGAGAAGCTATCGAATGCTCTCGCGGAATTCATTAGGATACTCGTTAAGTATAGACGAAAGATCAAAATGCGAATCGCTTTATCGAGATTCGTGATTACATGATGTCACGTAATTACACAAGCGATCGTTGCATCTCTCTAATTCACGTTTCTTTTATCGAAATAAAAATCTGTTTGTTTCATTCTCTTTCTCTCTCTCTCTCTCTCTCTCTCTCTCTCTCTCCCCCGTTCTTTCATTTTTGCTCGAATTTACTACGAACTTTATGAGTCTTTCACAAAGATTTGCCTGTTCACCCTTTCTCGATACACTAATCCACTCGAGGAAAAAAGTGCTGACATAGTCAAAACGAGAACATGGCTACTTCGTCTCTTTATACGCGATTCTTCTATTTTTCTGTTGTTTCTTTTTTTTTTACATTTTTCTTTTTCTTTTCTTCATTTTTATCTTCTTCTCTCCAAAGTTATGTACTTAACGTCGAGCACACGATTGACCTCATTCTCGATCTTATTTTTCTCGAAACTGTTAACATTCGTTTTATCTCCATTGTTATTGCGATCATAGATGAAATCCGTAGTTTATCTTTCTGATTGATTTTTTTTTCTTTTCTTTTTTTTTCTTTTTTTTTTTTTTTTTTTTATCGTCTTCGTCCATTTAGATCTTCGTGCTCGTTAGTTCGATAAAAGAAAGAAAAAGAAAAAAAAGAAAAAAAAAAAAGGAAAGAAAGAAAAAAAGCAGATTTATTTTCTCTAAAAAACATTCCCGAAACGCGCTATATATCGTTATCGCGTATATACATATACGTAAGCTCGAAATTTGGGCCATTCGTCGAGTGATAAACCACAATTCAAATCGTGACTTCTCGCGTACGAGTTAATCTCCTAATGGACGCTCGTGTTTCCCAAAGAGCGAATGAACCGAATGGACTGCTTTTCGAGTATCAAATGGGACTATAGTAGTCGAGAAATTTTGAATATCGATAATACGTAGATAATATAGAAATATGGACGAATGATTATTATCTCTGGGAAACTGTGTACGATTCATTACGAGCTACCATGGGAATTGTGATCAGGAGACACATTAGTTGCATAGAATATAAATAACTTCTTTCTTTTTTCTTTTTTTTTCTAGGTTATTATCGTGAAACAAAAAGCCGACGGATATCTGCGAAATCAAAGAATTCATTTATTTAGTTACGGATTGAAAGCAAACGGGTCGAAATGATTAGATCAGTGGAACAGAGAAATTAGTCGAGTAAAAGCGCGAGCGACGTTTAATATGTACCTCTTACGAAATAATCTAAACCGGTTTTTAGAAAGGAAATCGAGCAGTGAGATGAAAACTCGTATAACGTTAGGCAAACCGGTTTGTGGTGAGTATCATGATCGATCAACTTTGCTAGATCCGCTTTTTTATTCGTATTCATGGATTAGGAAGAAAAAAAAAAAAAGCTCGATTTGTACGATATATTTCGTTGTTTTTTTTCTTTCTTTCTTTTTTTTTCTTTTTTCTTCTTCTTCTTAAAAAGTAAAAATAGCCTTGCACGAGAAGCTCTCTTATTATATTGCAAAAAGATTCAAGTTTCCGATAGATTCGGCACGCTCGACTGGAAAGAGTCTTTCTAAACGGTTTTTATCGCTCGTCTTATTCGATCTTTCGAGCTTCCCATCGTAAAAGTCGATCGTTCGGAGCAAATACAATGTAATTCGTCTCGTAAAAGCTTTTCCTATATGCCTACTAAAGTCACCGTTTTCTCTTCCGGAAGAATTTCGATGCTTACGTAAAAATAGATAAGGGATACCTTTTAAATTTAAGTCGAGGAATATCTAATACGAATGATATATATATATATATATACACACATATATATATATATATGTATGTATTCATATTCGTTATTTCGATTTAACGATCAATACATGAATGAACGACCGTGTTCTCGCATATACCTTTTATATATTGTATGCATTTCTACTTTTTTTTCCCTCGCGATACTATTTTCGTGAATGAATTCGTTAAAAATATGAGCTCTGCTAGTTTATTGTTCCGTACGAGACGCGAGTTATTGCCTCGAGAGTTATTTCGATCTCTCGATCGTCTCGAGAGGCTTCCTCAATGGAATATCTACTCTCTCTCTTTCTCTCTCTATCTCTCTTTCCCACTTTCTATACGCAGTGGAAGCGACGATAGTCTGACTCATTCATCGGAGTTCGCTTGTGGATCCGTGAATGAATGCTTGATTCACGGTTTCGTATAACGTATAACGGCGTGCCAACTGCAGCTCGATTGCAGTTCTGCACTCGTATCTACTCCTTTAATTGTTCGTTAGGTCGGTAAACGCGGCAGCATTGTTCGAAACATACTCGATCTTTGCTTAATCTCGTTTCTTTGCCTCGAAAATGCTTGTCCAGAAATAATGATTGATAAAAATGAATGGGAAGGAGGAGAGGGTTGACGGGGTCACGCATTCTGACCACATATCGATTCTAAAAGAATATAAATCAGCTTTTTATTCGTTGGAAAATTAAACGAGTTCAATTTCTTGTTTTCTTCTTCTTTTTTTCTTTCATCCTTTTTTTTTTCTCCTTTCTCTCTATGATTATGGAAAGGAATAGTAGAAAGGATGGAACTACTTTTTTTCTTTTCTTTTCTTTTCTTTTCTCCCGACATTTCTCCGGTTTAATTAACCGATGGAATCACGGATATTAATTCATGGTGCTGTCGGCGTCTTCCGTTTCTTCCTTCGTCCACTAATATCCGGGAATGAGAGAAAAGAAAAATGGGAGGGCGGAGACGGAGAAAGGGGTAAGGGGGGAAAAAAATCGAAAGGGGACACGATCCATGAACTTTCTGTGTCTCCATTGTGTGCGTCTCGTGTCTGCTCGAATTGGTTATTAACTCGCAGGCTAGCAGTTCCGATGTGACGAAGGTAAAACGAGGACGTTGAGAAAATCGATTCGTTAGAAGAAAGGCATAAAGAGAGAAAGAGAAGACAATAAAAGAAAGTAGGAGATATTGTCATCTAATTGTACGTCT